ATTTCTATTGTTTTTGATTAGCTTTTTATCAATTTCAGTTAAATTTATATAATAAATTTTTAAATAAATATATTTTTAATGAATTTATTCAGTTTCAAACAGATTTTTGATTACTTTCAAAAAATTATTTCTAATTTTTACCTTTATTCTTAAAATATAATCTTCTACTGATCTTTTTAAATCTGTCTTTAAATTTTTATGAGATCTAAAGATGGAATTAATATGTAGTATACTTATTACTTTTAATTTTACCAAAACATCATTGTCTTTAGATTTTAACTTTACATTAATATCTTCAAATTCACTTAATTTAAATGTTGTATACCTTTCTAAAATTGTTGTTGCCCATATTATTAATTCATGGTTACTTCTTAAAAAATTATAATTAAAACAACATAAACATTTTAAAGATGAATCTTTTTTAAAAAAATCAGGTTCTTTTATATTCTGTTTAAATGTTGTAATTAAATCATTAACTAATTCTTGAATATTAGTTTCATCCTTATTTATTAAATCGATTATTTTGGAAAGATCATCATAATAATTAATAAAAGCTAACGATCTATTTAAAATTTCAGTAAATTCTTTTATAACATCTAATTCTAATTTCAAATTTAATTCATTGTGTTCTAAGGACAAAAAACAAACAACTTCTAATAATAAACATTCATAATATGAAATTAATCTTTCATCTTTTTTAACATTTAAAAAATTTTCATAAAAAAGAATTTTACCTTCTTTATTTTCGAGAGGATGATTCTTAGCTCTTTTATAAAGATTTTGATAATCATTTTCAGGATTTAATGTTAATTTTCTACCTAAAACTTTTTCTGCAATTAATTCAATATTTGATACAATCTTATTTTCAGTTTTAGAATGTTTTAAAATTTCTTTATAAGTTTTTTTTGTAATTTCTTTAAATTTTAAAACTTCATCATTTTGGACTAAAGCACTACTTATAGAACCATCAACATCCTTTTTATCATTTGTTTTATTATTGTTACCAGGTGATTTTTCAGTATCACTTATTTTAAAATATTTAGAACAATTCTCTACATTTGAAGAAACTTCATTATTATTTTTTCTCTTTCTATTATCATTAAAAAGCATTTTAAGCTTTTTTAACTTACTCTTTTCAACTTTATTCTTAGGATTCTTACAAGTTTTTAAATTATTTTTAATTTTAAAATAATTTTTAGGTAAATTTAAAATTGCCAAATTTGTATTTGATGTGTAATCAAATCTTTTTAAATTATAATCTTTTGGTTTTTCTACACTTTCAAATTTATAACTTTTTGAAAAAAAAACATTTTGTTTATTTGTTAATTCTGGATTTTGTATTAATTTAGCAAACAAAGGATCATATAATCTGTTTACAAGCTCAACCTTATCTAAAGTAGCCAATTCACAAGAATTACTGTTTTCAAATGTAAAATAAGAGGATTTATCTACTAAATATTCATCTGAACAGCTTAAAACTTTTATTTTCCAAAATAAATTCCAAATCATGGGTTTGAAAATTTTAAAAAAATAATATATTTTTTCTTTTATCTTGAATTTTAATCAATTAAATTCATTTGATAGTGTGCAAGATTTTTTAGAATTAATCATGTCAACATTGTTTATAATTTTGATCAATCAAATAATTTTCATATTAATAAAATAATATTAATCAACAGGTTTAATTTTTAATGATTTTATAATTAAATATTTTATCAATCAGTTTTTTGTATATTTCTTTAAAAATAAAAAATTAATAAAACTCATCATTTATTATTTACAAAAGTTTACATAATAAAATATTTATAACCATTTGTATAACTACTTGTTTAAATTATCTTTCATACTATAAGAATGTTTAAATTTAAAGATTATTAATATTAATGTTGATGAGTAAATTTAAACTAAGATGATTACTCATCTTAGATCCAGGTAATAATACTACCCGGGTTGACCCTTAAATAAAGGGCCTTTTTATAATCCATTATGGTAAAATATCTTCTTCAGGTGTTACTACTGGTTTTTCAGGTGTTACTACTGGTTTAACAGGATTAGTAAGAGGTCGTAATTCATTCATACAATTTCTTATAGAATCTATACAATCTGGAATTCCAACTGTACAACCTGGTTTATTTGTTCCGTTAATAATAGCAGGCTCTTTACAAGTACGTTTTGGTGGTAATGCTGGGAAACCACTTGTAATACCATTAGCAAACGGATGTGGACTATCAGAACAGTTTCTAGGATCTAATTGTCTTGGATAAGAATATCCGGAATTTAAGTGTTCGAAACCAATTGGAGGAAGTGTTCCTTCTGTTTGCTTATCTTTATTTTCAGTTGATGGAACTAGTGAAGCAGAAGTAATGCTATCTTTAATATTATCTGCTATAACTTCTTCTGTATTAGGTACATGCAATGGATCATAAGACATAGACCTTAAATTTGCTGGTTCATCACAATTATATGCAGGTTTAGTAACACATTCAATGAAGTTGTTTAACGAACTATTAATTGCTCTAATTCCATCATTCACTGAAGGGTTTGGTGACATAGCAGGGACTGCTATTGTTCCTGGAGGACATTCATTCTTTTCAATTGGTTTACTTTGAGGTTTTTCAGATTCTTTATGATTTTCAAAAAGTTTGTCTACCAATTCATTTTCTTCTGATTCTTTTAATGAATCAGGTAATAATGTTGAACTTGCTCTTGTTGTTAATTTAGATCCTCCAAATGGACTAAATAAAAAGTTCTTTAATTTACTAAACAATCCTGATCCTCTGTTGTTATAATAGTAATCAGGATTTTTTAATTTGTCCAATTCTTCTAAATCTTCATTATTATTTTGATCTCTTTTTTCTAAATCTGGATTTTTATTAGTAATAAATTTATCTGCATCTTTGGTTCTCTCTGGGTTGTGATGATTTATCATTGAACTGTTTTTAATTACATTTCCATCCTCATCATATAAGTATGCATCTTTCCTGTATAAATTTGTATTCTTATCCCCTTCATTAGATGCTTCTTTACTCTTTACAGGATAATCAGCACTTTTTGCTAATAAATCTGAATCTTTTACTGAGAAAACGGTGTCACCTTGACCGTTACTCATAGTATTAACTATATTTGCTTTAACTTGTAATTGTAATAAATTATATATTCCTATTTTCATAATGTTTTAAATAATTTTCAAATTTATATAAAAATTTGAAACTGTTTTATAACAAATAATACAAATTTTGATTTTAACAAATAATTTTTTTAATTATTTTTAATAAATTAATTTCTTTTTAAGGAAATTAAATTTAAAAATTTAAATAGTTTTTTGTTTTAACTTTCATTGTTATTTTGAATTTGTTAGAATTGTCAATAAATTTATTTAATTGTTTATTTCTTGATCTGTAAGATAAGAATTTGCATTTCCAGAATAACTTCTATTTTTTGAACTTGAACTTGATCTTGATGTTCTTGAATAAGTATAACCACCACTACTATAAGGTTTTCTATAAGTATATCCTGTATATGTTGGAGAACTTTTGGTTGTTTTACTTCTATAATAAGAAAATCCTAATAAATTGTTTTTCAAATTATCTTGTTCTTGGTTATTTTCATTTTGTTCTTGATTATCTGCTTCTAAACTGCTTATTAATTTTAATAAAAAACTTAACATTTATGAATGAAACATATTTTTTCATTTATAAAGATATGTTTTGATAACGTTTCTAAATGTCAAAAAATATTTTTATCAAATTTTTAATAAATTATTTTT